GCTGTTCAGAGAAAGATTTGTCCGTGTCTTGTTCCAGAGCCAAACATAATCAGTGTTTTGCAAAGTAAAGCACTTTTGGCTCAGTTCTAAATATTTTGAAACACAAGTAAACCCCAAAATTTTAAAAGCTTTTCTCCAAACTGTACTGAGTGCTTCAATGATATTTTGTTGCCTGCTGAACAACAAAGCCTTTCTGCTGTCTCACTGCATTAAAGCAGATGATGTTAACCACATACTCTCAATATCAGGAAAAATAACATTTTGTTGTTATGATCCTGGCATCTGATGACCTGATGATCTGCATTTCTTGGTGCTACCTTCCTCATAATTTGTAGCCTAAAGTGGTTTCAGTTCACAAGTGATAAACCCTTTCTTCTATGGAAGACAGAGAAAACAGTTAAGTTTTAGGTGGCTATATTGTTAAAAATTGCAAATTCACTATAATGGGTATATATATATCTGTGTGGAATACAGACAGTAAAGAATAAGCTTAAATATAGGTAGATGTAGAGATATATGCACGTCATACATTTAGGTTTAACCCAGAGTTTGTATGCAAATACGAGTAATCTGCAGGTTGTTCATTCAATGCAAATTACATAAACAGGAGTTGCTAAGTTATGTTTTCCAGTAAAACAATTAAGAGGAAGAGCTTTTGCTTTTTATTACTATGTGATGTGTATTTTAGTCTGTGCTGTTACTATTTGTCTTTAAAATGTTTGATAATACATACAGGAATTGCTTTTATAAACTTCTCTAATTCTAACACCTAGAAATACGAATGTTTCCTCGCCTATATTATAGAAAAGCATGAGACAGGAAGAAAAATACTATTTGAGTATGTGTCTGAAGAATTGGTTTTTATCAGTCTTTAAACATTCATCAGACAAATGATTTATTCATGCTTAATAGAGCATCCTAGACTGTTGCAGGTTTCATTAGCTGAAGTTTGAGTGGTTTCTGTTTGCCATAATAATACTTTACATTTATACAACAATTTTCATTCAAAGTATTTCAAAGTGCTTTGCGTAGTGTATGTATACAAGGGATAAATTAGCCAACCAGTAAATTAGAGTTACCTCTAGAGTGAAGCTCTGCAGAAACTTTGTGGCAAGGATCTTGTATGGGTCTAATTTTATTTCTTTTTTTTTATGAAATTTCATTGGTTTCAAGGAAGCAGAGCATACAGTTTAATTAAAATGTGTTTTATAAAAGAGAAAAGAGTCTAACATCTAGGGCACTTGAGTCCAACCAAGAAGTGGTCTCTGTTACTTGTTTCTGCCACAGACCTCCTGTTATCTTCAGGCAATTTGCTTAGTCTAATTTGGGCCTTAAATACAGTCAAGATAAATAATAATTATACGAGCTCAGCTTTGGTGACTGTTCATGTACACAGTTCATTACTTGAAATGCAAGGGAATCACAGTTAACTTTAGTCACCTTTTGGCAATGAAAAAGCCCTCTTCCACTGACAGTAAGCTAGTTTGTATGATTCTGTATTTGCTATATGCTAATAACATAGATACTGAAGATCATCTGCCACGACTCTGAACCATCAGTTGTGTATCTCAGAGATAATACTTGATTTATTTCAGGTTTTCACAATTTCAATTAAATTGCATGAACCTCAAACTAAGGCTGTTTCCCTGTCTGTGCAGCAGCAAACACAGTGTCTTCAGATCCTGGTTGGACTTTCTAGGTGCTGTTTAACAGAACAAAGCTCTTTCTTGCATGTTACAAGATAGTTGCTATAAGTATGTGCATAAATTGAAAGACTATTCACATCCGTAGTAAAACCAAAAAAGGACACAATTTTTTAGCTTTAAAAAAAAAATCAAACTTGGCCAGATTATTCTACTGTGTCATGAATGTAGAGCAACACAAAGGGTGTAAGTCCTTTTTTTATTTTCATTTTTTCTTGAATGGAGCTAGTAGTATTGGAATCTCTCTAAGTTAAACAGTATAATGCAGCAAGTTGGCCAGGGTGGGTAAAGGCATCTACCAACATGTGATATCAAGATAACTTCAAAACATAACCATCTAACTGGCAGTGGAAAAACTATTATCTTTTAATTATCTGCATAAAAATACACACCACCGCCACCACACCACCCCCTGGGAAAAGAAAAGAGGGAAAAAAAAAAAAAAAAAAAAAACAACAACAAAAAAAAAGCAATAAAGCTTTTTAGTTGCTCTGTGTTATTAAAATGGTCTACACCCAGAATAAATTCATTCAAGCAGGACTTTTTTTTTGTAAAGAATCTAGTAACTGGCTGTATCTTTTAATGCAGCTTGCTGTGTGATATCATAGGAGGAAAGAGCCCCCTAATGGCTTCAAGCTATCTAGGAAACCAAAAAATAAATTTCACTTTCTGTGAGTTCAAACTAGAAAGCAATGCAAAATTAGTTTCAGAAAGGCCAGTTTAGTCTTCTTGAGAAAAATGTGATACAAGTGAATCACTTTAAAACGTGGCAAAAGGTCCAGATTAACATAGTAGACTTGAAATAAAATACACAATTTATAATATGTAATCTCTTAAAATCTTTCTGATTTGAGGGTTTTTCAGCTATTTTTTCTGTATTTGACAAAATAGGATGCTTATTCTGTGATTTTGTAATGTGGAAGTGAATAATGAATTAAGTAAAATCCTGACTAATTGTTTGTGCTTCTGATTTTCTTTTGTGTTTTTTTGGTTTTGTTTGGGTTGTTTGGTTTTGGGTTTTTTTTTGGGTTTTTTTTTAATGTTCAAATGGAATATTCCTATTTGAAAAATAATTACTTTTTAGCATTATTTGGAGTTTCAATGTTAGGATGTAACCTGAATAAGATACTAAGCTGGAGGGAATCGTATCACTGTCTTTAAATCACAGAATTAGCATGAATTTATTTCCAATCACAAAATGATAAGGTATATTTAAAGAGCACAAGTTTACATAGTAAACAGGGCTTTTCAGAGAAAAAAAGAGATAGTTGAATAAGAGCTGTAAGAAAGCTATAAGGATTATTTTTGCAAGTCAAACTGCATATGAAATATTTTGAAACAGGCCTTAAGTTTTATAAGGATATCTAAGTTACTTATAAAATTCTGTCAACATTTGGTGATCCAACTCTTAATACCCAGGTCTTTGTCTCACTGTTAAAATTTTCAGTCAGTTAATTAAAATGTAAAGGGTTTCTCTCAATTATTTATGGTCAGATTCTGACACCTCGACTCCATAGTCAATGTATGCAGTCCTCACCTCTGGCAGTATTTTATGGAGTAAAATGTAACTCACTGAAAGCTAAGGTGGCAAAATGTGCCCCAAAGTCATTTTCTTGCTACCTGGAAAGAATTTCAGAAGGAAACATTGAAATTGCTGACACAGATCAATTTTGTATATCAAAACCAACATAGACATTTTTCACAGAGAAAATATAAAGAAATAAACCAGCACAAATATTAGAGCTTAAGTAAGCCTTTGGTTTTGATCATCAGTTTACTTCTTGTTTTGCCAATGTTTATTCATATAATACATTGTAGAAGATGAAGCTGTCTCCTGAGTTTTACATATTTTGTTCATGTGGTCACTTAGGCACCCCTTCAAATGACTCTTAGTTTTAAAAAAAATATGTACGCCTAAGGTCCCCAACATTTATAATATATTTTACAAATTATAAACAATAATTTGAGTAACTGTGGGAATTTCCCTTCAAATTTGTGATTTTGAGACATCATTAAGTATTTGATTATTTGAGTATAGCTTTATAGACATTTATAAAATGTATCTTGGTAGAGGAAGAGAAGAAAGTACTTTTCTGTGTTTGTGATGTTTTGTCATTTCATAAAATGGATTACAGTTAGGTGCATAGTCTAGCAGCATTAGCCTGCTATAGGCAGTTTCTTAACTGGACAAAACAATACAAAGTTATACTTGGCTGGGTGAAAATCTGCTTAAATGCTTGGGTTAATACACTGATGATGCCTCTACTTCACTCAGAGTAATCAAAATAGCTGGCATATGAAAAATTCCTTTCATTTTGGAGCAAGGAGCAGAGCGCACAAACTGATGATGAAGGTGGTGCAGATTATCACAGCTGGAAGGAATGTGTTACTGAAGAAGTGACAGTGCTGTCTTCTTAGCGTTATGCTCCCATGGACTGTAAAACCCAAGTCAGTCAACTTCCCAACTTGCTACACAACGAAATGCTGTGTTATTTCAGTTTTAACCTATCACCTTCAAAATCACAGCAACCTATCACAACCTGTCAACTATCACAGCAAAACCATTTCCAGAACAGCCAAGGGAAATATGTAAAAGTTTATGTAAAGCTAGGCAGTTAGGAGACAGTAGTGTCAGTGTCACATCAAAACAAGCAATCAGTCCATGGGATGGCAGCTTCAAACATGCAGCACAACATAATCGAACATCCTAGGTTTCATATTTCAGTTCATAAACCTTGATCTTCACTGTGCAGGCAGAATGTTAGCAACTGTATCTATAAAAAGATGGCAGTCTAATGCCATATTATTTAAGGCAGATCATGTTTGCTCAGTAGAGGTAAGCTTGCAGTCAAAAGACAGGTACTGTTTCAAACTACTGACAAGCACTGAGAAATCCTCCAGGGAAATGTTCTCTCTACCTAGCTTCACAACATGTACAATAATGAATTAAGAATATGAGAGAGCTTGTGTGTTATTATTACTCCAGACTGCTTAGCATGTGTGGGACAAGGTACATTAAACCATCACACAAGTAGTTAGAAATAATCTTTTCTGGATGCTTCATTGCCATTTAGTTGAAGGGTTAAACATGATAAATACAATGTAAAAAAACATATCCTGTTCTTATTTTTCTTTGGGCGTACATAATATGTGATACATATCATCTGTGAGTGAAAGAATTTGAGTGCAATAAACGTATTCTATAAACAGATGCCAAAGCTGGTATTTAACATGCAAGATACAAAAAGAATAATTGCTTTTTTAGCTGCTCAGAAAAGCAAAGGATGATTTTCTTACCTGGAAGATCAAACTCTGTATATCATCAGTATTATGTGAGCTAAGGGGATAGGATTAATTTTTGTCTTCTGTAATAAACCTTTCTTCAGAGATGCAGAACATAAGAGATGTAATTATAAGTAAACCAAACTATTCCAACGTCCAGTCTCTCATCAATTGCACTGGTTTAGAGCTGGAATCCTCTTGCAAATGGAAAAATGTAGCTCAGCAAATTGTCCACTGAAGGAGCTCGGCATCAGTGTTATCAGGCACAAGCAGTCACATACTGATGCTACAGCGTGTATAGTCTCCCTCTATTCCGCGTTTTCTCTCGCTTGCTCTCCCTCTCTCTCACCCTGACGTTCACTCAGTTCTGAGTCTGAGCTCCTTCTGCTGCTGTATAATCAATCTAGCCTGTCTGAATCTAATAGGCCTCTATTTAACCAGCCAATCAATAGCACAGATTCCGCTGCTGCTCCCCAGGGTCTTTTCCTGGAGTGGTACAAACAATAAGAGTTTGGCCAGCAGTTTAACCAAGTATTTTTCATTATTTTGTCTCCCTTAAAGAAAAATTGTTTAGGAGATCCCAGGTTCAAAGCTATCTTTCGCTGTGTTTTTTTTCATGAGTTATATAAACATGCACATTGCACTGCAGTAACGTTCTGAACACTTTTAAATTTTTACCCATTCTATGTCTTTTAGAATACATACTAAAAAAATAAAGAAGATAGAAAAGAAAAAGCACACACACTCTCCCCACCCCCAATCTAGAAATGAACCTGCATGGTAAATCTCAGGCTTTGTGTTCTGAAAAATCCAGCAGCAAGTTTTGTAACTTAGACCTGTTTATGGCAAGTGTGGAAATTAAGCATAAACCAAGAAACAGGCAAATTATACTTCACAAACTGTGCTTCTAACACCTGTCATCTTGAACTATCATCTTTCCTACACTGTTTATGTTTCAGCTTGTATGATTTATTTTTTTTTTAAGAATTTTTCTGCATGGAAATAACAGATTCAGATACAGGAGGAATTGGAGATATAATATCCATTCAGAAACAGATTTACATAGGACAGCTTTTTCTGCTAAAACAGTGATCAGAACTAACTGAAAGTTAGCAACAAGTAGCTGTAGTACTTGAAAAGCATACCCTATTTTGTACTGAACTGCATTCTCCATCTATGCAAGCAATAGATTGTCCTTTAGTAGCTAAAAACAAAATTTCAGGATGAATATTGTGAAAAGTGAGTAATTTTATAACAGACTGACTTTTTTTTTTTTTTTTAAATTAGGGGCACTAAATCATAAGAACATTGATTTGCAACCTGATCATTCTTGTTGCAGATCAAGATCACGAACCAACTTTCATGCTGAAGCAAACTGTGGGGAAGTACCTACCATACTGCTGATTCCAGAAGGTAGGTTTGTTTCATCAGTTACAGGTGCTTCCACGTTGCAGCATATTGATGCTATTATATTGATGTTCTATCATTTGAAATAGTAACTGTAACTAGAGACCACAATGAGTACAATGCATACAGTGGTTTTCTATAGAACATACTGTCTGATTCTTGGTGGTGCCCTCATATGTGATTCTTGCAGAAATTAATCTGATTGCTGACAAAGAATCCAGAAACAAAATGAGAGCTTTGATTTTTCTGCCTCCAGTGTTTGGACTGTCCATCAGTCTAAGGATCTCTCAACACATTCATTGCATTAAGACCTTGTGCTTGGGATCCTCTCCTGAGAACTGGAACTTTCAGTCCAACAGTTTATTCCATGGCTAAAATTCTGTCCTTAGAGAGTCAGCATAGGTCAATCTTCTTACTGAAGTATGAACACTGTAGTCTAATATCAGAATCTGACATAGACACATAAGCAAGTGGTATACCGATAATTAAACTAAAGTTTCTTGTGACATCCTGGATGATAAGGGTTTCTACCTGACTTACAGGATTCCATGTTTAGGTTCTTAGGAGTGGTCAGAAAGGGTTGTTCCTTTACAGTCCCTTTATCAGAAAATCCCCCATTAAACATGTTTACAAAGACCTGTCAGACAGTTTTTGGTCTACATAACCTACCTAGCAATCTAGACTTCTTGGATAAACACAAGCTAGTTTACCAAGTCATCAATTTTATGTTATTAATCAATTTTATGTTATTAATCTCTTGAAAATTCTAGTCAAAGACTGAAAAGACCCACTATTAAACTGAAGTTTGCAGAACAAGAAGGAAATATGTTGTATTCATAAACAATAAGGGAAGCCTCTAAGCCTATTCAGAGATAGAGATATCAGGAAAACATTTGTTTAGCATGAGTGTTTGCACAAAAATATGCATAAGGTCATACAAACACAGAAAATAACAGTATATTCATGCACTTGAAATTGTTTCAATGCACATGCAAAACGAATTCCAGGAAACAACCAGTGAAGTCACATTATCCATAAGAAGTTCAACTCATCCATTCTTAATGTAAAATATCACATTATCAACTACTGATCTATGATTCCTTTACATGTGGAATACCTCATTAATTACAGCCTACATAACACATCTCAAGTGTTTTGAGTGGTGTGCATCAGTTAAGTGATATTCTTGGATAGACAAAAAGGTTAAAATGAGTAAATGAAAATAAGATTTGATAGACTTATGGTTGTACAACTGTATGAGGGAAGATCTGGTAGTGAAAGTGTGTAAGGCCTGTATATGATCCTATATGTTAGAAAAAGAGCAATTATGTTGGATGGTGTTCTGCCCTTGGCAGGAGGGTGGGAGCAGGGAGGGGTAAGGCAGTGCAAAGTTCATTCTGGGTTTCTGTGAGAAAGGCCCAATAGCAAATGGTGTAAAGTAATAGCTGTTTTAATAAGAGAGAATAAAGGGGACTGCAGAAAGACAGTAAATCTTACATCCTTCATATGCTGGCAGCCATTCTTTTGTGCAACACAGACCATGGGTGGAATTTCTACAGCATGCTGTGCAGATCCCATCCATGGAGAGGTTCTTTTCTCCTTCCCATGCTGCTGAGCCCTTTATTTTTTGTAACAAACAGAATCATATACCACCTCCCGACAGGCTGGGATGTTATCTCTGTCATAACACCCACCAGCACAGCACAGGCTGGCACGGGGCATACCAACAGGTCCCTTAAAGCAACTGCTCATGCTAACATATGGCCTGTTCAAGCCCTAAGCTCAGGGCCCAGCAGAGCAGGCATGGCTTGTCCAGAGTCATTAACAATGTAAAATACAATGTCTTCCATAAGGCTGCCAATACAGATGGGAAGAACAATGTTGCAGAATTTGGAGTGTGGAAGGAGCTCACTTTCCAAATGCCATTCTGAAATTTTTCTTCCTGACAAAGTTCCAACTTATTTCTGCATATCTTCTTTCCGCGTAACTACCAAACAGTGGTTTTATGTGAAGTACTCTTACAAAATCATACATTGTACAGTTTGGTACTTTTGAGTTTGGTTTTTGATTTTCAGCTGAAGGCAGGACTGTCAAGGTGACATTTTAAAAAAGAGTATGACTGTAAATCTCACTAACTGGCCTTTTAAACTCTGAACTAATGATTAGAAAAATATTTACTAAAATTTTATTTGTAGTTTGAAAATACAAATGTTGACATGCATTTGTATACAGGGTAGCTTTAGATGCAGCATATGCTGTACGGAACTTGTGTGTACTAGAACATGTGTGTATTGAATATATGAAAATATCTCTTTGTAATGGAGTATGATAAATCTTTTTTAAGAATGTATAGACACAACATATTACAGCATGATCATTTAGGATGCACAAATGTATCTTCAGTGGATAATATAAATAGCTACTATCTAGATAAATAGATATTTAATGCTGCAGTGTTTAATAATGAGACCAGTGTTTAAGCCTGAAATGTTGAAACATTGAGCTAAAGAATGTCAAAGTAATTTAAAATAAAAGGCATACTGTATATAATCTAGTAAGAAGCACTGGGTATTCACCTGTATTTCATTTTCTTTTGCTTGGTTTGGGGAAAAAGAAGGTGTACTTATGTCATAGAACATTTTTGTTTGTGAGTGCTATGCTATTATATATTATTAAGTGTAATTCTTCACCTGAAACTGTTTTTCACTATTTTAGATTTAATTGACAAAGAACAAATAGATGTGCTTCCTAGCTCATGATTCCAACAATAATCAAGGTAGTTCTCTAACAAAGTAATCAAAGGAAAGACAGAATATACAGCTCTGTAAGACTAAATCTTGCAAACATATAATGATGTACTAAGAGATATTGTGTATTTATAAAGGTGCCTTTGATGGATTCCCTCATGACAAAAATAAAAATAAAAGTCAGAGTTGTGCATTTACTATTCCATTCTCTGGAAGGAATTAATTTAATGGGCTTTGTACATTGAATCTAAACACTGGTTATAATAAATATGCAATTGCTAAGTGATATTTCACTGATACCGATATTATTCAGGATTCAAGTCCCACCAAATCTTAACACATTCTTAAAATGCTCAGGATATTCACATTCTTAAAACTGAGTAGTGCATACTCAGATACACAATATAAAACCTAAACCATCATTTATATTTTTAATGATACTTACTTTCTATAGATGGGATACAAATATGTCTTTAAAATGTGTTTTAAATGCTTGAATGTAAATGGAAGCATACTGAAGATAGATTTTGTCAATTTTATTTTGTTTTTCCTTAGAAAGATCCTCTTTCATATCCTGAATGTCTTGTTTAGGAAAGAAAACAAGATACAGGCTATGAGAGATAAATAAGATAATACATAGTTTCTTGTGTTCCATATAGTATTTCTCATTATTTCTCATAGAGTAGGTAAATATGTTACAATTTTTCTTAAAAGTTTGTGGGTTTGTGGGTTTTTTTGTTTGTTTGTTTGTTTGTGGGTTTTTTTGTGTTTGTTTTTTTTTTCCAAGCTATAGAAGCTAGTATTTTGGTTTTGTAGGTACTCAGTTCAGTTTCTGTAGACATGTTAGAGAGTAAGAGAAGATAAATCTCCATTTATTAAAGACTTTGACTTTAGACATTAAAACTATGTAATGTGAACTTGCTACAATGTCCATGATACACAATAGGCTTTGTTTTCTATCCACCTGAATGTTTTAGTGAGCTTCAGGACTATCCGTTATAAAAATGCAAACTAACATAATTTAAATTATTTATTACATTCACTGTTAATATTTATTGTATTATAATGTTTCTGGGTCAGACAAATTCTTCTCTAGAAAAGGAAGTGATACTCTATTGGTAAGGGGAAACATGGTTACAAAACAAATTTTAACATATAGCATTTCTAGGACTATATTTATGTTCTGCTT